CCGAACCTCGTAGGTCTTACAGTCAAAGGAAAAACTTGCATCGACTCTCGAGTCTCAACGTCTTCTTCTTTATTATCGGCTGATTCATTGCTGAACGCGTGCAAAGTCAAAGTGTGAAAGCTCAAAGCAGAGTTCACACTGACATAAGTCCCTGTCGAATTTTGCCCACCTGATGAGGCCCGTTCTATCATCAATTTTCTCAACTATGTTAGCGTGCGGTGTGGGACACTAATAGTAAAGTGCTAGTGTATTTAAAGTATGGTGCATTCGAATGAAGTATACTGATGGTGTTTGTACTAGTATTCAACCACTTGGGTTGGCCAGGGTAAAAACTCATATGATCAGTTTGAGAAACCTTATGCAGAACACTTTAGCACTCGGATATATTTTCTAGAAATAAATTTATCATATTCTCTGTTACTACACTCAGTCTCGGACCTCGGCTTTCGGCTAGCCGGCGGCCCGTATTCTATAAATAGAATAATCTGAGAAGAAGTCTCAAATTACTCTTACGTTCTCTCGGGCTGACCCACCTATACTTATATTAATTTGAGAACAAGTCCCAAATTAATCTCGGGCTGACGACGTAAAACGTTATTAACGCATATAGAAATACGTCTACTACTGTAGTCTCTCACTTCCCCTCAATTTTACAATCAAGGGCTGAAGGCTGACAGACGGAGATCAGCCAATTGATTGATAAGCCGTGGGAAGTTTTTGCCGGACTGAAACGCAAGTTTGAAGCCCTGACCAAAGATGATATCCAGACATTAGAAGGAAAACTGAAGCGCATCACACAAGAACAGAATGAATCGTACGCCAGTCTTATCAGTCGTCTTAACACGGAATTTATGAAATACAAAAACGCCGGAGGTACGAAGTCTAACAACAGCCTATGCGCTATTCTACGGCAGGCTGTAAACGACGATAATCAGACTGTTAAGATTACGTTGAAGATACCCGCTATGATGGCCATGTCGTATGATGAGCTCACCACGTATCTCATCGCATTGGATCCAGATGAAAGTGACCCATCAACCATTGTGCACGGTGCACATGTAGTTATATTGACAGGAAATTGTGCATTCTGCTTCAATCGTGGACATTCCATCGGGCAATCCCGCAAGCTACAAGCGCTAATCAAATCATGCGTTGCTGGCAACCATAGACAGAATAGTATGTGGCGCATGCGAACGAACGAGGAAATCTTCCCTAATGCTCATCGCTTTCGGGATATCCATTGCTGTCTAAAAACTTATGACTATAGTGAAGGGCCTAAACGAGGCGATGAGGGATACTGCGCGGAATGGAAGTTGTTAGAGATATACGATATCATGAAAGAAATCTTCCAAAAATTATTTGCTCCCGGACAGGCATTGTCAATGGATGAGTCAAAGGTACCAGCCAAACATCGCATTGGTTCTGACTTACGGCAGTCCTTGAAGCATAAACCAGCAAGAAAAATATTTAGATACAAATTATATATGCTGAGTGATGCGAAAAGCTGTTATCTATTGTAATCAATCATAGCTTCTGAGTAAACACATATGGACTCACGATTCGCTCACTTATTGAAGACAGAAGCAATAGTATTGCAAATCACAAAACCTGATTTCGATCGAAACCGTATTTGTGTGTGCGACCGATTCTACTCTAGCCCGCAGTTATGTATGTTAGATATATGTGCGTATGGTCTACACTTCATTGCAATATGTCAATGGAGACAAAGGGGATGCCTTACACAAGACTTTTTTTTCACTATGACAGAATGAATAGCCCTATGGAACTGTATCTTGATATATGGCACGACAACAGAGTGGTTGCTACAGTCTCCTCATTTCAAGCTAGTAGTGAACACTCACGTGAAAATCGCAGGTACTCCACAGCCTGTCCATCGTCCAAAGAACATTGGATTCTACAACGGACATCCTGATAGTGTAAATAATTTTAACAAACAAACTGGATATTGTGGAGTCGGTTTCAAATAAAGGCATAAAACTGGCTTTTTCTATTCTGGCATCTAATTGACTCGATGATCGAGAATTCACGCTTGCTATATAGTATGATACACAACAAAGGCGCATCTACTATGCAATTCAGAGAATTGCTTGTACAATCTTTAGATCGCGACATACTAAATCAACATGTGGATCCACTACAATTTTCCGCTGGACACCTGTTTGTTGCATGTTTGTTAAAAGTATCGAACCCAATAAAAGTGGTGTAATGAGACTGTGCATGGACGTTGCCATATATGTTACTTGAATCAAAAGAATGATAAACAGCACACAAAATGGTGTAGTAATGTAGAGTGCAATGTTTATTTTTGCTCAATTAAGTGCTTTCAAGGGCATTATTCGGAACAGATTGGTGTGAGAAACAAAGGACGACGACGTTTAGATAGACCACTAGTCTAGTACACCACAATGAAACGAATAAACAATGTTTAATACGGCTAGCATAAGCTTGAAAACATGCGTTCGCATGCGTTCACATACTATGAACAACGTAGGCTATATGATAAACAAAAGTCTGATGGGTCGAATTTAAAAAATTAACCCGAGCCAATTCAACAACTTTTCAAGTCAAATCCCACTTAAGTTGTATTCATGTTATACCTACCTGATTTAACCTACCCACCAGTCTCTTCATAATGACTGAGACATTGCCTATATAAAACCTTCCTAGTTCTGATTTCGCCGAAGAGATTTTATTTATGTTTATTAGGTTTTAATTATTCGATTCTACTTCATTCTTCAGAAAAATCTGCCGCACCAGGCAATACTTTTCGCAAAAATGAATTCTAAAATCCATGTTTTCAATTCTTCTGTTTTCTCAAACGATTCGAAGGCCCAATTGTTGAAAAACGTTCAAAGAGTATAAGTATTTTATCCTGTACTCGTGATTATTTTTGTTGTTTCTGGGATTGACTCGTGCGTCATCTATTTCACCACTCGCGTGAATATAGTTGCACAATTCTACAGTAGCTAGCGACGCTTTAATAAGATATATTTTCGTTATCTCACCATTGGAGGGCACATCTAGCAATAAATTACCTAGTGAGGACGGAGCAGCAGAACTTTTGCTTCTCTTGGAAGAACAGCAGAAGAACCAGCTATAAGCCCACTACTATCTGCTATTCGCTGACGAACTCGAAGAAGAAGATGCCATAGTTGTTGCACAAAACTATAACTCGGGATCCAGGTGGGAGTCACCAATGTAATACGAGATCCAGAGTCGGCCAACAGAAGAATACAGTAACTATACTTCACTAACGAAACCCTCCAGAAGATGGAGAGAGAATTGAAAACCTTCGACAGGCGGTATAGATGCATATGTTTGTATTGTTTGATGTCCTTGTCTAGTAGTAATGGTAATGATAGTTACTTTCAAATAGTATGTAGTATACATATTAAGTGCCTCTGACTGTTCTGCTTTCCGGATGCCAATCCTACCTCCCTGCCCACGTAAGCTCGGACAGACTTCCCGCGAACGCCGCTATCCAACAAGCGCTTCGACCTATCTAACAAACACTTCGAGCTATCCATATGCTCGGAGAATTCAGCTTAAGTGTGCCAACGTGTCTTCGGCGCTAAGGGAAGGCCCCGAGTGTTTGTTTTGTCTTCGTGGGGCGCTTCTAGCGGGTAGATGTACTTGTGAGCAATCCGATTATTATCAAGTGCGGACAAGGGCAAAAAAAATCATGTGTCAGACGTCCAGCGTCCAAGAATATTGACTTCGGCATCGTTAAGGCCTGCTTCTTTCAGTGCATAGAGTTCCCCGTATACGCAGGGAATGACCAGAGTAGTGTCGACTGTCGAGCCCCGCGGTCTTGACTAGATGTTGATATTGCTCCGACCATTTCGCTTTTGATATAGCGACACCCCCTAGTGAAAACAGGTGGCTATCGCGTGGTTCGTGGCGAGTGAGTGGTAACCAGGCTAGTAGACGAGTATTTGGGCAAATCTCAGAATATTTCTGAATTGGGTTTTGAACGCGAACGGTCATTGGGCGGCAGCTTCTGTGTTCCAGAGAAGAAAAGAACGATTAATATGTGATCAGCGAGAACCCGGACATCCCCACGATTCATGTGCAGATATTTGGAGTAAGCCTCTAACGTGGAGTGGACTGTAAGTTCTCCACTACGGAATAACCAAGCAAAGTAAAGAAGCCAGATGTCTTCGCCGTGCGATAGCATGTCCGCGAGAATTGCGAGGCCCTCGGGGGCAGCAAAATCCAGCAAATGCCGCTGTGCCGTATTGCTACTCGATCAAGTACCGGGGGGCGGCTACTACAATGAACACTTCTTGGAAGTAATTTCGTAGTTAAGTGCGAGTGACTTTGGATTTTAATCGCGCCCTTTACTGTTAAGTCCGACGACACAAACGGAAGATTGCTCCGATATCCTACACATTGGGAATGGCGTAGTAGACATGCTTCAGTATTTGCTTGCAAGTTCAACATATGTACAATTTATTAATAAAAACTAAAACGTTCGCATCGAGAAGGATTGCTCGTGTGCTTGGGCTTGAGGGGACAGTGCGGTGGGTGTTGCATCCGTGCTTTGGAGGAGCGCGCATGCTTCTCTGAGCCTATTACGGGATATTGCATCAGCGATCGTATTGTTAACTCCAGAAATATGGACACATAAAATAGCTATGTTATATTATATTTCTGATTCGGTGTGCATGTGCATGAGATTCATTATTTCCGGGATTGGACTTGTACGCGACTTGATGGCTGCGACGGCGCCCGAATTATCTGACAGGATGTCCACTGTGTGGCCTTGCCACCTATCACGAAAAGATTTACCATATATACCACCGCTAATAACTCTAGTGTTGTGATAGAAAAAAAGCGCTTCATTCCTTGTAGCACGTGTTGGTGGTGGGGTTGCCACTGTATAAAGTACCACTCGCATGTGGATACGAAACCCCTACAACCAACTGATATGCATGCATCGACCGCTACAGTAACATCTGGCAGTATAGGTCGAGGAATCAACGAGGCTGGAGATCCGTGACCATGATTGAATGTCCTGACGGACCACTTCGGTGGCTCGCACGTGCTTGTGAGCTGCAGATGCTTTCCGTAGCAGCCAGAAGATCCGGGATGAGTAGGGCCTGGCCTAAGAAAAGATTGCACAGAGCCAGATCAGGCGACCATCCAGTGATGCCACGTCGTGCGCCGTCGCCATAGTGCGGGTTTGCCATGAGCTAAAAAGTGTCCGGTAATCCTGGCGCTTTTGTAAGGATATGCTAACTGTTCGTGTGAGTATGATAATGAGTATGCTTATATATTCCACAATAAAAGCATCCGTCGCAGATTTCCCACAAGCCATAGGTATATGCAAATGGGCAAAAAGTGCACGGATGTGTGCAGCTTGACACTCCCCTTTGTGCCTGGCTGAATCTTAGCTTTGACAAAGCTAGTAAGCGGTGTATTCGGGTTGGGACTGGAGGAAAATGTTCCCAGAACTAGTAATTCGGGCATGATTTTGTTTGTACGTATATACGATCTATATTTTATGTCTCAACTCACTGCCATCCATTTTCAGCAAACTAACACATCCTAAGCATCTTTACTTTATAAGTAACCTCCAACCACAACTAGACTCGCAACTCAATCTTGTTTAGAACCACTTTGTTTTGCAACTCAATTTGAAGGCTAATGGCGGGTCAGTCAGATCTAGACTGGCGCGAGACGTGAAATACGAACTCTTGAATGATACCTATTATTGCCAAGGGGGGGGGGGGGGGGGTTTGCGTGCCCACAAACGTGTGTATTAAACCATCGAGTGAGAGTCTACTAATCAACCCATAAGGTCTGAGGGACACTGATAAGGACATAGGTCTGATTAGTAAACGATAATTACTTATAGAGATCAGACAAGAACATCAGATTGTTCATGGCCGGGACTTCTGCAAGTCAATATTGGTGAACATTTAAGGCATAAAATTGGGATATTCCTGTTTCTTAGTCTGCCTCTACATCTGTCTGGTTACGGGTTAAAAGGTACCCACAGGGCTATAGAGATCTTGTATCCAATCTTGATCGGTACACAATACGACATATAGCGGTGTCGTTTTACCCATCTCTGTTATTTCTGTTTCATTTCAAACTGTGCATACATCGCTCTATCACGGAGGATCAAGCGCTTGAGCGGCAATCAGGATTGGCGAACATACCACTAAAACAATGTTTTGTTTAAAAAAAGGAAACAAAATCGGGCGAATTAAATCTCAAAAAATCCGAGACAATCTGTAAGAGATTTTCGAGTGGGGATCTCGGCAGGAAATACGGAGTTCTACATAGAGGCTATATTTCCCAGTCGGAAAAGCAACTCAACTTGATCGCAAACCAGTTTTGAGTTCTATGCCGACTCAATCTACAATACTAGAGTTGTGCTTGGCTGATTGGGGCGGTACATGGCCAATTTGTAGTGGTACTAAATGCCGAGTTTTAATACAAATTAATAAAGTTTAAGCACGGTATTGTAGATTTTGCGAGCAACGAGTTTCGTCTCCAATAAGCGCAGTGCATGTGTATAAATGGCTCTATATGAAACCGAATTGAATCATCGCAAGTATAAAGTATTATTAGTTGGCACAAAAGACCTTTCTTAAGAGATTAAAGACTATTTTGACGTTTTCCGTTGCTACTCATATATTCAAATGAAAGTCAATCTACTGTCGAATTTTGTCAACGAACTTGTATGTAACTCACGACATACACTGAATTTTGAATCAATCCAAAATAGGGTCCACAATCACATCGATTGACTTACGCAATGCTAGGTGCAATTGAGATCACTATATATACAAATATCCATGTATATGCATATCAATTTCATTATGTATATATATATATATTATATTCTTCAAAACTTGCTACCTACCTGGTAGACGTAGATCTCCCCAGAAAACGAGGAAACAGCTCCAGCCGTCTGTAATGAAGCGCAAATCTAGTATGCACCATCTATAACTATACCTCCAATGAACTCCGAACAACCTCAAATCTTAATTTAATACCATATCAAGTACAGAATACATATACTCGTACGCCCTATACTTTATTGATATTCGGTGGATCAGAAACGCGAGCGCCGCAGTGTCGGATTCCACTGCACCGGATGCGATTCTTCCGTCTGTGGAGATGTGATGGGGACCACAATTAGTTGAGAGTGTTTAGAAAAGTTTGTACTCAAAATAGGTCGTGTGACTACCACTTTCTTTTGAGTATACATGCGGAGTTTTGGACTGCCTATGGCAGACAGTTCACAATAAACCTTGTTTTTTTGCACTGATTATATCGCATTTCGATACAAAACGATTGTGGCGGTAGCCTGCATAGGGAATGTTCAAAGGTCAATAAAAGAACCGCGCACAGCCGATACGGACCCTTCGAATTATTGCAACTTCAACTATTCAGATAAACCAAGTTCAAATATAGTCTAAACACAAATACCTCAATATTAAATAAACCCTGTCATTGAATAGCCCTCCTCACTTATTGTTATCTACGAGTATCGGAGGAGTTTCTCTCACTACACATAGACGCGTCCATTCGAACGTATTTGCTTCATGATCTGATAGCGTTTGGACTAATATGGAACTACGTCTCGGAATAAAATAGATAATATTTTGTGAGCACATCACATCTATACATCCGTCAATATAGGCAGAAAATATACACAAGTAAAAACACACCACCGAGATACGCGCGGAATAAACCATTTGTACTTGTTTGTGCGTAACTAAACACGCAGACACACACCAGGCATGCAGTAAGATAGATATGTTTCCATTTTATATGAATCTGCGGATCTCCTTCTTCACACACGTATAATGGGATTGCCTATACTTACGCATGCACACTACGGAAGATCTTACAAGTTATGTCCATTTATACATGCAAACAGCCTGCACAATTGCATAAACGGTTGAAAGGGACAAGCAGTGGACTCATAAATGCCACTCAAGACTCTCAATAGCCTAAAAACAAGTTTCAAATGAAAGACTGATGGAGGCCGTATAACGACATCGATACCCTACTGCCAATTGTCATAAATATATATACATACATACATACATACATACATGCATACATACACATACACAGACACAGACATATATATAAATACATACATACATCTATACATCACCCACACCACACTGTCGACAAACGTACCGCAGAGTCGTCCTCTTTATAGAACTTTACACTTTTATCGGCCTCGCAACTGATTAAGCGGCTTCCCGTCTTATCAAAGCTGAGTGCATAGACACCGTTTTCACTGGCGAGCGACCCGGGCTGTGGGGGAGCCCTATACTTCTGGAAGCAGTAACCTGTGGTCCAGTCATAGAACTGTAGCGTACCGTTGTCGGCTGTTTTGTAGTAGAGACGATATGCGAGCGTTAGACAATTTATAGACAAAGTACCCGAATTTTCACTCATGTATGTATGTATGTATGTATGTATGTATGTATGTATATATGTATGTATGTATGTATGGATGGATGTATGTATGTACGTATGCATGTATGTATATCTGCATGTATGTATGTATGTATGTATGTATGTATGTATGTATGTATGTATGTATGTATGTATGTATGTATGTATGTATGTATGTATGCATGCATGCATGTCTATGTATGCAGGTTCATGGTTACCAAACTGCCCAGATGTGTACCATAAGATACTCTATTCTTTTGGAAGAAGTGACTGTGATCCAATCGTAAATTACAGGGCGTCAAAGTCAGCTGTCAGGATATCACACAGTAGTATTAATAGCATCATTACATACATAGATATATAGATATATAGATACACAAATTCATAGATACATAGATACATAGATACAATTGAGACTAGTGTGTGTACATGCAGATATACACACTTACAGTCCCACCCACGTAGAAGAACGAAAAACGTTTAAAAATTTAATACAACACGTAGACAGAGGGGCAGAGTAAAGTATATACATACTACACTCAATTCAAAAAAAAAACCATCAAAAAATAATATTCACACTTCCAACATATACCACGGCCGCACTTTAGATTGCCTGCATGCCTCCACCTATCATCATATAGTATTTCATATACGCCCACTATAGCCTACTATGCCATACAGGGTTTAGGGTTTAGGGTTCAGGGGGTATGTACCCACATATGCCATGTGCACACATTGGGTAGGTACATATTACACTCTGTACGTACTCGTACACGCTTGACTATTCAGATGTGTATAGTCGTTGAAAACACCACGTGCACAACATATATTCACACACACACACGCGCACACTCACCCACCCACACTCACACCCACACGATATATATATATATACACATACACACATACATACATACATACATACTTATTATATATATATATATGGACATACGCACATACCTCCGGAGACCATGACTCCGTCCTGGTTAACGGCCATGCTGTTGACGACGGCGGCGTGTCTGTCCATATTCATTTGGAATTCCCCATTGGGATAGTTCCATTTCTTGATGTTATCCGCACTTCCAGTGGCAAAGTTGAACTCTGCAGCCGTTCACAGGCGTGGCGTGGGTGGTATATACATATATAAACATTAACGACTATTTGATTACTAAGCAGGGGTTCAGTTGGGTGAAATGAGTGACTGACCGAATGCGTGTGTGGTGGCGGTGTTGGGCGTGGCCTACTAAACCAGAACACAGATGTCAATAGACTGTCAACGGAGACATAGGCGAATGATGGGTTGCTATGGAGAGAAATAGACTACAGATGTCAATAGACTGTCGACGGAGACATAGGCGAGTGATGGGTTGTTATGGAGAGAAATAGAATACAGATGTCAATAGACAATCAACGGAGACATGGGCGAGTGATGGGTTGCTATGGAGATAAATAGAATACAGATGTCAATAGACTATCAACGGAGACATGGGCGAGTGATGGGTTGCTATGGAGATAAATAGAATACAGATGTCAATAGACTATCAACGGAGACATGGGCGAGTGATGTTGCTATGGTGATAATAACAGCTACACACGATAGTGCCTTGAGTATATAGGCAGTACACACAGTACAGTAGCAGCACATGAACACACATCCACAAATACAATTTCACACAACACACATCCACAAATACAATACACACAACACAACACCCAACCACATATACAATACACACAACACACACCCACGAATACAATACAATACACACGACACAACACACACTATCACAAACTCAGCCGAGGCCATAGGCACAACACTGTGGATCACTGCACCGCAGCACCTCATGGCCCGTGGTATCAAATATAGTCGAAACAAAAAACCTTAACATTAAATTAACCCTGCCATTGAATAGCCACCCCAACCAACGCTTCAGGGGCGTACCTGACGGGTGTTGGCAGATGCCGCGCACACTCTTCTTGTGGTTGGTGAGTGTGGAGATGGTCCTGCCCTCTCCGATATCCCACAGTTTGACGGTGGTATCGTAGGACACCGTGGTCACCTGCACCCGATCGTGGAAAACAGGACCGGTCCATGAGCAAACGGGTGCAATGAACCGGCACAGCGTGGTGGGGATAGACTGTAGGTACGTGTATGCACGTGCGTGTATATACACACGCTGGACTGCTGTTGTGAGGACCATGTGATGGTGAAGGTAGTATTCCTGTAGGTATACCTATACGCACATAGGTTCAGCAAGTGTAGCCATATTGTCTCTGGCCTCTCGATCTTGTACACATATACACAAAAACACATCTAGATATAATCACGTCCATACGTGGGAATATTGGCAACAAGGCGGTACGATTGGATACCCGAATAGGTATGTATGTTTACATGCAAGCGTGCATATTCATACATACATATGTAGCTATACCACTGGGAGTGTACATCCATTATGGCAAAACACACAAAAAAATGGCACCCGCGATGTATGTGACATGTGTGAAGAAATTCCCCGATACATGTACATTATTTATATATA